TTAACCCGCCATAAATTATTTAGGAGCAGCCCGTGGTGTAAATCAAAAACACGAGTGTTTGTTTAAGAAATAAGCTCCTTGTGCATAAAATGACTTTTTCTTTGGTGGGGGGAAGCATCCCTGAACAAAATGGGCTGGTGCTAAGGCTCTGCCCCTCCACAGACACTCCCTTGCCTCTTCTGCCCTTACCTTTTTTTTGAAGGTGTAAAGGGTTCTTTCAGTAAGAAGTTTTATGCTTTTCCTTATCAGACAAAATCCGTTTCTCTCAACAGCCTCTGCTTGTTTTTATTGCATTTTGAACAGTCAGCTCTGATTTTTATGGGCATCTTTTATTCCTGTGTTTATTAAACTTCTTCACATGGGGGTTAGAGTAAGGGATAAATTATTCTCTCATAGTTTTTGAACTGAATAGGCCATACGGCCTTCCTCAAATATGTAACCCAGTGTCCTGAAGAGTGGCCTGGCCACTTTATACACAGGCTTCTGTATTAAAAGGTTTTGAGAGCTGGAAGGCTCTTGCTGGGCACTTTATTCTTTCTGTCTAATGATGTGAGTGCTATCCAGATCCAAAAGGATAAGCAAAAAGATTCCTCTGTGGGAATTAGTGTAATTTCAGGTGCTTTCTTCTCTGACAGGAAATTGTTAAGCAAGTGTAGTTTTGTTCTTCTTTATTTCTTTTATTAGCGAGAAGATCAAGAAGGCTGAATTGGTGCATCCCTGCTCTGGTGTTAAAGGGAGGGGAGTTTCATTTAGGACGAGTGGGTAAGGAAAGGTTGGGTTTATAGCAGTGCTTTCACATGCCCTTATGAATTTTTCAAATCCCTCTTAAAGGAAAGTCCCTGGCCATTCCACAGTTACCCTGCAGCCTCCTGCTGCTGCTCAGCCCACTGGCCAGGTTGCACGAGAGGCTTTCACCTGGAACCCTTGTTTTTGTTTTTAGAAAAGGCAAAAATTCTGAAGGAAACTGTCACATAGGTTTGCTTGAAGGACCGTGAAATCGTAAATGCAAGATTGTTGTAAAGAGAGTGGACCTGGTTATGGATATGTAAAAGCCTCTGGCTCTGTAGGTTCCTATTGTTACTGTGTTTGGGGGCGCAGCTGAGGGGAGGGACAGGGTGCCGATGCCTTTTTCTTTAAGCGTGTTAATATTGATTTTAGAAGCTCTGTGTTCCAACAATATAAATGCAAATGCCTGTAATTGGGAGCCTCGTGCAGAATTTCTCAACAGAAAACATGTTCAACTTTTCATGACAATGAAAGGAAAATAAAAAGCCGCTTATTTATTGGTGGTGGTTTGAATCCTGGATTTCCTTTCAAGTTACTTTGCAGTGCTAAATAAAATACCTAATTGCAGTGCTCGCAAAATTCAAATGAGTACATTTGTTCTTCTGGTAGCTTGCAGCTATTTGCAACCTCTGGACACCCTCAGCATTATTTTAGCACATCCATAACTTCTGGTTGTGCTGTAAGCTGGGGGTGGGTCAGGGGGAAGACTTAGAAGCCCCAAATGCTGCTGGCACAAATAACTGCTGAAGTTAGGACATGTACTCAGTGTTGGAGTGGAGCTGGGTGAGGATCTCCAGCTAACACTTATGGATGATCAGGTTCTGATAAAAGAAAGGAAGTGTCAGTGAAACTCTCCTCTTAACTCCCTCGTGCCTCTTTTCCTCCACCTTTCCCTTCTGGGAGGAAGCAGTGAAGGTCCTTGAATGGTGGAGATGGAGCTGAGCATGTTGAGCTCACTGGGCTGCTGTGAAACGTGAGAGAGCACCCGGCTGCCTTCCTGCGTCACAGTCTGCTGGGGGGTTGTGTGTGTGAGTGTCTAAGTGCTCACCATTTCATAATAATTACTAATGAAATTCTAGATCTGTAATAACATTTTGGATATCTAAAACAAACCATATGCTTGTAAAAAAAAAAAGAGAGAGGAAAAAAAAGTGGAAACAGATCAACTTTAAGCCATAAATTCTTGGTAATAGAGGCCTCTTTTCTCCCCCCTTTCTGTTTATGTTTGATAGATATTTTTGTTTCTGCAGGAATGTCAACTCTTAATTTCATGATGTATCATGGGCTTAAGAAAATTGAATTTAATAAAGGCAAAAGATGAATGGCACCTTTAAAGGTCCCAACACTTGTCTTTATTAGCAGGACAAACTGCAGGGTCTCCAAACACTGCTTCTCTCCAAATGAAAGTTTAAATGAAAAGTACAGCAGTGTCACAGGTTAAATTTCATTGCAGGACTGGCTAACGTCGTTAGTGAGGAGTGGGGCTGATTTCATGGGGCTGGTATCTGTTGCCTTAGATACCAGTGGAGCAAACACTGCCAGAGACTGGAAAAATCTCCGCTATAGGAAGCGTGCAGATAAACAGCCTTTTGGGAAAGGTTCTTTACCACTTACTTCCAAAACTGACCAAATAAGCCCAAAAAAGTGGCTGCGCTTTCTCCTAAGACGCTCAAGTCGCCTCTGGGGTTCCACTCCTACTCGTGGCCATGCACTTCCTAAAGACCCGCAGTAATTCTGGATATTGTTGAATTTTCCACAGTTTTTTAGTATGGCTTTTTATTTCCTCCGTCTGTCTTAATCCGACCCTCCTGGAAGTGCTTTTTGCCTTTGGTACTGGAAGGCCAGCAACGCCTTTGTGTATCAGATCAGCAGCAGGGCTGTCTTTCAGCCTCGCTTTGCATCCAGCCACTTGATGGCCCCTGAGGATGTTTCTGGTCCCTTAGGACCTATCCCGGCATTGCAACGCAGCCCTGCTGTGAAATCCAGCCGGTGTGTGTCTCTCTCCGGAAGGGGGAATGCTCATCTTGCCCTGCCGTGGGCTTGCCCGCTTCCATGGTCACCCGCTGGGTGGGATGCAGACCTAAGGGGCAGCGAGACGCCCCAGCCCGATTTGAAAGATGCCACAGTGTTATCCTGGGGTTTAGCATGGCTCTGTTATGACAGCCTGTCTGTTAGCTTCAAACTTTGCAGTCTGTTTTCCTTCTGAACAGAAATTTGCTGCTTTCAGAGCCTATCTGTGGTAGGCCCTTTTGAAGGGAGGATCAGCTGTGTCCAGCGTTTCTTACTTTCTCATGTTTCCTCGGGTCCTCCTGGGTGGCTGAAGCTGGTGCGTTTGGCTGCACCACAACAGGCAGTCTGGGTGATGCTCAGGTGTTTTGCACGTGTCTTCTCCTCCCCTTCCAGCCCCTGGGTCGAGTTTCCTCTCTTTCCTGGGGAAACTTGGTGACTCCCAGTGGGGGGGTGCGGTTGTGGGGAAGGATGTGCCCAACCATCTGCTCTGCCTTAGCCCACGTGGCACACATGGAGTGTGGCACAGATGATCAAGGGGAAACAGTTAAGCCCTGCATCCTCTGCAGTTCCACTGCTTCGTGTCTACACCTGGGCACTTGACATTATTAACACTTTATTTTATTTAAATTTTTTTTCCTAATTTTCCATATCAGCAGCACATGTTCCCCACATGCCCTGGTCTGGGCTGTGTGCCTGTTGCACCAGGGAAACTGCTCTCCTACATCCACAGGTTCTGTCCACCATGGAAATCGGGTGTTCCTCCTGGCTATTTAAATTGTCTGTTATTTCCATTTACCCACCCAACTTCTTGCCCTCCTGCTGCCTGGTGGGGTGGTGATGTCACCAGCTTACATGTATAACCTCACAATAATTTCCGCCTCCAGGTCATGAGGGTTGCAACCAGGGTCCAAAAAAGTGTGTTAGTTCCTCTGCAGCGGCTGCATTTTTCACATGCTAATTTTACTCACAGGAGTTGGATTTTTTTTTCATTTTTTATTATTTCTTATTTGTCTCTTCCAGATGTTTTCAGGCAGTTTTTTTTTTGTTGTTAAACTAATTCCATTCATGTTTTAAAAATTTATGAAAGCGCTAATAAAAATGTCAAAGTGGTAAAAATGTTAGCTTTTGCTCTGCTTTGATTAAATTTTGCAAACTGTTTTTGAATATTAAAAAGCAATATTTTTTTTATTCTCTCTCCCTCTCTCTGTTTCTCTCCAGAAGTGATTTGAGAGGCTTGTTGCATGGATATCACTCAGCAGCCTCATTTGCACTCCAGAACCTTGGTGCCATGGATCTCTATTAAATAACATAGACAAATTATTCTTTAAAGACACCAAACAAATTGTCACTTCTCCTCTTACATTAAACTGGAAGGAAGAAAGGGAATGGAGAAGGAGGGGGGTGAACACAAAGGATTTTATCGCTTTTATTCAGTGGGCAGCTTTTTTAATTTCATGTATATTTTTTAATAATTGAGAAATCCATCGCAACTGGATTTGTTTAAACTTTTTATTAACAGGTCCATGTAAATTTTTGATTGCTGATTATTCAAATAATTGAACATTCTTCTGATGAAGGAACGTTTTTATTTCCCTATCAGCATAAATTGGCTACAAAGAGGAAAATGAAGCAGGGCTTGCTACTGTGCTGTATCCCATAGGAATGGATCTCAGTCTGTTGGAGGAGGGCAGTGCTCCTCAGCCTCTCCAGAGGAGGAGGTGCTTCATGCAGTAGTCCCTGTTGTCTGTCTGATGATGTCCTCCAAAAGGATGGTGGGGTGGAAAGGATGGGACTGGTTTTGGGGAGGGCTCAGCCCCTGGGATGTCCTTGCCAAACAGACTTGAGCCCATTGCAGGTACATCTCCATGTTCCATGGGTAGCACGTGCGGGTGGTGCGAGACCATCTTCCTTAGGTGCAGCTTAGGCAGGGCTGTGTGCAGCTGCAGTGCTGGGCACAGAGACCTCCTGGCTGCCATCCTGGCTGTGATGAGCATCACCACCATCCTGCTCTGTGCCTGAGGTGTTGGATGTGCTCTGTGCTGCAGCACCACCTTCCCACTTTTGCAGAGCTTTGTATTGGGCTTATTTTTGTTTGGGACTATCGGGCCCCTCTTTTTACAGCCACCTTGCTAAATGGGATAATTTCTAGCTTCATTCTCTGTTTATTTTAAATGAACAGCTGCTTTTCTTTTTACCCTGTTCAGGAAATCATCGAATTCCCTATCCTGAAGCTGAATGGCAGGACGATGGAGATCGAATCCACCTTTCACATGTATGTTCAGCCTGTGGTGCATCCCCAGCTTACGCCCTTCTGTACAGAGGTAAAGTGCAAAGGTTCCCTGGTGCTCCAAGGGTCTCCCTGGGAAGCAGGTTTCCATTGCACCAGGGACTGGGGTCGCCTCTTCACGGTTCAGCTGCAGTGCAGTGTGTCATGCCAGCCTTGAGTTAAGGACAAGGGGAATAATTTTTTGTTATTGCAGTAGCATGTAAAGACCTCACTTTGGATTCATAAATAACTCTAGCTGTGATCTGCTAACTAAGACAGTTGTATTTACAGTTAACAAACATCTAACTAGGTGACCACAAAATAAAAGCTGATGCTCAAAGTCTTGTAACCTCCCTGTGAGCTCTTGTGATTTTGCTGTGCTGCTCTGTGGTGGGGAAGGTCAAAGAGAGCATGGTCTGAGGGAAGGAAGTGCTGTATGGCTGCGTGTTCGGAGCCTCTAAATGACTCTCCTGTGGGCCTGCATGTTGGGGTGTGATGAGTCCTTCAGAGCGGTAGGATGTCTGTATTTTTAAGACTTTCTTTTTGATGTCATGCTCCTGGGGTGCTTGAAATGATTGCTGGAGAAGTAGCCTCTTTTTACTTGGTTGCTCTCACTGCTGAGTACAGCTGCTCTTGAGCCGAGGCCACCTTTCCACAGATACAAAATGAAGGTGGGCAGTGCGGTCCCTGAGGGTTCAAAGGAATTGGGGGCAGGGGTTGGTTTGGGTTTTGTTGTTGTTTTTTGTTTGGGTTTTTTTCATTCAACACAAAAAGTTGAATGTTTTTCCAAGTGTGTCCTTTCTCCTTGTTGTAACCATCAAAACAAACTTTAAGTTCCTCTTGCTTTGGGCTTTTTTTCCTGCCACTCCACTGGTTCAATGTTGGCCAGCTTGGTGACTAAAGTACTGAGTGTGGGAATCAGGGTATCCAAGTTCTTTGTTCTGTCCCTGTCTTGTCTAGGATCATAGCACCATAGTGTGTTTTCCCCTACCTTGCTGGCTGCAGGTTTAAGCCCTTGGAGTGCTTGTCCCACATGTACTAACCTGATGAAAAATGACTCCTCTGTTTTAGGTGGAGTCCCCTCCAGGACCAGCCAGCCCCTTCCATATTTTCACATTGTAAAAACAAATACTTATTTTTATTCTCTTGTAACTAAAAACCATCTGAAGGTATTTTATTTCAACTTAAAAAAAAAAAAAAGACTAAGCACCGAAAATGTTATTCCCAGGAGAGGGGCTTTCAGAAGGCTATAAATGTGTGAGAACAGAGGGTTATAATGGAAACTGGTATGCAACCTTAATGCTAGAAGGCTGGACAACTACTTTGGCTGTCCTTATCCCCATGAGACTTGCTGGACATATGCTTGTACAAATGTGATAAATCTCACAGTTTGCACCTGATCTGGGCTAAAAACAGCGCCATCTTCTGAAAGAGTAGAGCCCAAAATGTCCATTTGGCAAGTCCTCTAAATTCTAGAGAGAAGTTGTCTCATTAACTACCACCAAAATTCCTTTTTCCGGAAGTCCCTCTATTGCATCCTTCCCCCTGTTGTGTCTCCTGTGTGGAGCCCTAAAGCAAGCAGAGCTCTGTGTGTGTATGTTTGTGTGATGGCCACACGTTTGCCAGAGTCCCCAGGATGGGCACGGGTGTCCCAGCTCAGCGTTGTGCTGCAGACTCTGCCGCTGCCCGTGGTCTGGCATCGTGTCCAGAGTTGGATGAAAACAGGCAGTGCTGATGCCAGCAGGCAAAATGGTTGCAGAACCCCCACCTGGTACAAAAAAGTTCCACTTGCCAGGTTTGGCAAGTCCTCTGTTATTAACAGTGTGGGTTAGGGAGCTAGTTTTAGTCCTAGCCTGGAAGTCACTGGCTCCTGGGCATCTTCCCACTGCACCCCTTGCTGCTTAGTGTCCAGCATGGCTGCTTTCCCTCCCAGCTTGGCAGTCCACTGGCCTGTTGCAGGGGCTGTGAAGAGGTCCAGGAGTGGGATCGTGCTGGGAATGTAACCGGGCTTGTCGCTAGGCCCTGTAGCTGGGGCTGAATTTGAAGCCCTGCCCTGAAGGCCACAGGTGAACTGGTTGTACTGAGACCTTACTAAACAGTGGGCTCGGTGGCTGCTGCTAGGCAGGTGTAGGGGTCAGCCCTGTGCCGCTGGTGTAGGTTCCCTTGAGACCCCAGGGACACAGCCAGGACGTGCTGCTGTGGAGCTGCTGCCTGAACAGCTCCAGCACTTGCCGTTGACTTTCTGCTGGTTTATGTTTTCTGAAAAATACTCATTTTGCTAAATGCCAGTAAAGGGCTTTGTCTAGGCACCTCTACTTACAAAGGGTGAGATTTATTGGCCTCTTTGTCTACAAAGAAAGACCAGGCCTGATTATCAGATTGTACACCAGAGACAAGTGCTTAGGTAATCAGCAAACTGTCTTGGAGTAGAAATACGATGGTTTCCCAGATAAACTCTCTAGGAAAAGCAGTGCTGTTAACATTACATGGGAGCCTGTCTGCCATGCTGCTGATTTCCCCTCTCCCCTTTGCTTGCTGCCTTTCCTGGGAAGCAGTAGAACTGCTTAGTGTAGACTCTGTATGGGAGGGTTACTGGAGTTGCTTGACATTACTCCTTGGGTCTGGAGTACTTCTCCCATCCCTTTTCCTCCTTGAAGAGGACAGCACAGCATGGGAAGGGTGCCTGGAAGGGTGAAGAACTTGTGGGCACCCTCAAGGCCTCCCTTTGCTTTTAGTGTGTCTATGCACCTCCTGGCTACAGGAGGTTTCTTCAACTCCCCACACGAATGGCCAGGAGTGTGTCTTCCAGTACTGGCTCACTCTGAGCCCTCATCTAGTTCCTTTTCTCCTGATCTGCTTCTGTAAAACAATAGGTTGTGATTGATTATGATGAGGGCTGGGTGTTATGATGAGTGTTTAGGCAGAAAGGTGGAAAGTGCTTGCAAGTTGTTAAAAGCTGTTATTAGGTGTATAAAGATCATCATGCCCTTTTGGAAGATGCAAGTGGTTTGCCTGCTGCCCAAGCAAGTTCATGCTGGGAGCTAAAGGAAAGGTTCTCTCTACACAGAAGGTGCTTGTACAGCCTTTTTCATGGTACTTTGCTCTCTTTTTATGATTAATTTTTATTGATTTTTTTTCCCTGAAGGAATAGACAATAAAAATACAGAAAGATAAATGCCTTATAGCTTGTTTGTGTTCCCAAGTACTGTGTGCTTCTTGGGATCACCAGTGAAACTTTACAATTGTGCAGTTTTATGTTTTTATACTTCTTCAAAGCTGCAAGACCAGATAATGCTGCAGAGAGCCAATGCACTAGGTTGGGTGTGACAGGTGGACGTGACTGATAACAGAAAAGATCAGAAGGGGTGAGAGAATATAAATCTGGTCCCATTTGAGCACTCTCTGACTTGTATTGAAATGTACCCATGGAGCAGGTATATCCCTTTGTATTCATGTGTATGATTTCTGCAGCACAAATCTTGTGTGTGTGTATTGGGCGGTTTGTTCTTGTACAGATAAGTTGGTAGTTTCTGCCTCATAATGGCTTGATGAACTTGAGAAACCCACGTAGAAAAGCTCTGCATTCTTAAAATACTTTCCCTAAAAGGTATGTATAACCATTCTGTGGAAGTCACTATGAGAAAATAATCTTTTTACTTACAGCTTATTCAGTGAGTCAGGTATTTGGTATTCATTAAGTGTAATTACAGTTTAATTGGAGTTTAATATCTTTTCTTTTTCCATCCTCCGAGTTCAATGCTGTAAGCCAAGCAGCCAAAGAAACTGAGAGGTAAAAACCATTTAGCTTCCTTCAGTTGCCACATATTTAATAAAGCCAAACCCTGTGGTTTGTGAGAGGGCCTATTTTTATGAGTAGGTTGAGCTGGTCTGCATGGAAGAGTTACTCCTGGGTGGTGGTGAGGCTGTCGGCACCTCTCGAATAGATGCTATGGCTTCTGGAGCCCTGGATGAGTGTGCAAGCACCAGGGCATGCTCCTGCGTTGTGTTTGACCTTATTTTATGAAAATGTGTGAGGTGTGTAGCTTCAGGAAAGTGCCATATGAAGTGAAATCCCATAGTGTGCACTTGTTTTAGTAATGATTTTTTTAATTACTTGGATGCATTGATGGCGAGCTACTGACGTCCGATATTCAATATGTTAAAAGACAGTTTTGTCACTTGGAAGGCAGACAGAAAAATTATCTCTTTTCCATGTGCCTCAAGCCCTCCTGGGCAGACACAGGCAGAGGCCCATGAGACTTCATCTTTTTATGTCTGTGTCTTAGCTTTAAACAGCCAGGCAGTCCAGGAGCAGTCAGTAGGACTATGTGTTAGCAGGATGTGTTCCTAAGGAACCTCCTGAAAAACAGAGTGGACAGGGTTCTGGAAGAAAGTGCTTTTCTTCACGTTTCATTCCATTGTTCTAAGTACAATTTTGAAATGCAGAGGAATGCTATGATGGACTATGGGAAAAAACACATGCTGGCTGCCCAGTGCAGAGGGGTCCACTCTGGGTCTTACCTACCAACAATCGTCTCTTCTGTTCATCTAACACTGAAATTTTGGTGTAACTGCGATAGCAGGGGAATGACCAGAGACCTTAGTAGTTACTGCTTCCTGTGTACATCAAGGCAGCATCAAAACAGGTGAAATGCATGTTTAAAAGGGCATCATGCTTACGCATGACACTGCTCCCCAAGTGGATCCTGCCCTGCCGAGAGTTTGCTGTTTTGTGGTGTGGGTAGGAGCCCCGTTACATTTCTGTGTTTGGGATGAAGCTGTGCCCTTGCCTGTGGCTGGGGAGCTGCCAGGGTCACTCTGCTGTGACTGGCTACTCAGCAGCATCCATGTGGGTCACAGGAGCATGTTTTGGTTGCAGAGAGATGGACAGGAGAGTAGACCTTTCTAATGATCTTTTGAGTGCTGCTCTGATGCCTGCTTTCTGTTTGTCTCTCGTTTCAGCTGACTGGGATTATTCAAGGCATGGTGGATGGCCAGCCAAGCCTCCAGCAAGTGCTTGAGGTAAGCAGAGTAACCTTTAGTTCTCGAACTCTGACCTCTGGTCCTGTCGTCCCCTCTTCATCTCTTTCCCTGCACCCTCCCCTTGCTGAGAATCGAACCGCGTAATTTGACTATGATTACAGCTTCATTAGAATAACATTTGCTGTCACATTGGTGACACGCTGCTGAGAGTATTGAACCATTGATCTGTCATCTCCAGCTGTTCATGTCAAGGGTGCTGACAAGATATCCAAACTCCTGCCAGTAGATAGGAGAAGAGGCGATTCTTTCTTGAGCCAGTTTTAAAGCACCAAGACGTTGCTCGAGACCACTGCTCCTGGAGCTTCTGCCTTCATTTCTTTTCCCCTTCCCCAGCACTTTATTAAATTAATTTTTCTACCTATTTAAATGCTCAATAATACATGTAGCATAGAAAGAAAATGCCTCTAAAATCTAATCTGGAGGATGTGCAAATGCAGAGATAGCCCTAATAATACTATCTGCTTAATGTTGAATTCCTAGAGCATTTAAGGCTTAATTAGCTTGGAAGTATTTCTCCATCAATAGCTTTTGTTGGTAGTCAGATAGTGAAGGAAACCTCCTCAAGCAGAGCCCACTTGGGCTGCAGGTTGGTGTTCGATGCATTGTCTCTGTCAGGATTTCCACTGCTGTGTTACCTAATTGTTCCTAATCAGAATAATTGCAACAATTGCTTATCTGAGGAAATCAAATTAAAGGCTTTAAAATCCTCCGCGGAGACAGCACTTCATGGGCGCTCACATCAGGGAGCGTAGAAGGGTTACTGCTGCTGTCCCCAACTTCGGGCAGCCTCGTGCGAGGCTAGAAGATCCTGTCAGCCCGAGGGAGGCAGGAGTGTGGCTGAGAGGCTGGATGCTGCTTTCCCGGGGAGCTTTACTCAGAGGGCTGTTGTACAATCGGTCACAGGAAGAAGCATCGACCCCTGCCAGGAAAGGCTGCGGCAATGACACGAGACCGAAGACGGTGCTCTGCGAAGGTGACATCTTGCATCCATGCAAACCCCCAGCTCTCCCTGTGCTCTCCAGAGAGCACGTAGCAGCCGTGCGTGTCCATAAGCATATGGACGCCTGTGCCTGCTTCCCCAGGAGGGACAGCCCTCTTTGCCTGGATGGGTGAATGTAGATCACTACTGGAGTATTCCAGAAAATGGTTTGTTCTGTTTCTATGGAAGCTTCTTACAGTGTGGAAACACTTACTTAGAATTTTTTTTTTTATTTGGACCGAAAAGGTGTTCTTACAGCAGCATATTTCTAGCTTGAAATGAGATTCAGGTCAGGCAGCTTCTGGGGCATGCTGGTTTATTCAGGAGTGAAAGGTGTCAGGTGAGGGAAAAGAGGACGGATTTCTCTTGCTGAAGCTTTGGAAATGCTGCTAGTGAGGCTGCATAATAGCAGCTGATTGCCTGCCACCACAAGATTTTAGGCACATCATTTGCTAGTTTTAGCTGGACAAAGTGTCTATGCAGGGGTTTTAGTCTAGGTTAGTTCCTTCTGCTTAGTTCCCCAGGTGGATTGCATCCTCCAGATTAATGTGACCCAGTTCTGAAGAGGATCCAGAACATCTGTTCCTATGGAAAGTTGATCAGGAATAGTGGATTCACTTTAAATCCACACTACCCTGAACAAGCATCTCCTCAGAACTGTAAGGAGGAGAGAGGGATCCAGACTGGAAAGGAAGGGGACATGTGGCTTTGCTTGTTACTGCCACACAGTGCCTGTGTGTGCCCAGCCCTTCCATTTTTCCCCCTTTCCCATATCCTCTTGGAGCTGTACGAATCAGAGTATGTGAAAAATGCTGGGGAGGGATGCCATCTCAGGATACTTGTGTATTTGTCCTCAGTGGAGGGGACACAAGTTATGCTCACTGGGAGCCCTTTTGGTACAGGGAGAGGAGAAGTGGAGGAGAAATGCCAGGTAACAGCACAGTTGTATCATCCCGTTAACGCTGCACAACTTCCATCCCTCCATGAGCAGAGCTGCTGCGGTGTCTGATAAGATCATCTCTGCTCTGGTTGCCTGATGTCTCCTATCAGAAATCTTCAAAGGTCCAAACGTGCTGTTGTTGAGATGGCAAGCAAAGAGAGAAGAGAGAGAGGGAGAGGGTGGATAAGATCACAATTTTCTTCTCTCTTGATTGCAAGCGGCTTATCTGAGTTTTACTGTTGTGGCTCGGCCTGTCTCCGCAAAACTCATCCCCTTTTCTTGCCTTACTTTCAGAGGGTTGACGAGTGGATGGCAAAGGAAGGCCTCTTAGATCCCAGCGTCAAGTCGATTTTTGTGACCTGTGGAGACTGGGATTTGAAAGTGATGTGAGTATGGAAGGGGAGGGAGATTTTTCTGGGCTTTATTGCTCCATGCTTGCCTGTAGCACCTATGTCTTTGTCCTTGCAAGCCTCCAACTGTCCCTAGTCATCGTTTCTTAGGGAAATTGTTGTTTGCCGTGCATAACTGGCAGTGGAGAGTTGTTTCAGAAGACGGGTGCTGGGCATAGTGCAAGATCACTGCCTAGGTTATTCCCTGTAGTGAATGAATCCTTTCAGAATCCCAAGAAGGGTTTAGACTGGAGTTTTGTGATGCTTTCCTTTTTATCCGGTATAGTTTCCAAAGGGATGGATATTTCTGAGTGCATACGTGGAATGCTGTTTTTGTACACCCAAATCAAGTGATGGTTCTTACCTGACGCATGCAAGGCTTCCTCTCTGTCATCTTGGCACAGTAACGCGATGTGAATCACAGAGTAGTCTTTGGGACAGAATACAAAACAGCTCTGGCATGATTCATTGGTGTTCTTATCGTTAAGGTCATCTTCACCAGCTGGGTGACTGTATCTGGTGGAGACCTGCACTGGGATCTGCAAGTGTTGGTGTATGTGCATGTTTTGTCAGGAACATTGCTAGACCACCAACCTAAAAATGTTATTATAAGAACAGAGTTAAATGTCTAAAAATTACATTACTTCAATCCGTAAAGTGTTTGCAGATCAGTGTCATATTGTGCTGAATTCCTTTGGATTCCTATAATCTTGCTTCATTTTTAATTTCCCCACAGTGCTGGATAAAGACTGCTGTTGTTATCACACCAGTAAAGCATGGGCTTGACACATCCAATGCTAAACTGACAGCCCCAACTCGTTAGTAGTATGACTTGGTTTCCACTGTGACATTGGCTTCCCCAAGTCGGAAGCCTAAATAAACTGCACACAGCCTAGGAGCAATCAGCCCCAGTTCTTCCCTGCAGAGTGGTCTTTGTAGAATGGCAGGTCCTTGCCTTTTCTTGGTGTGATTAGTGAGACATGAGATGTGAGGACCAAAGCTCAGCACAAGCGCTGGCGGAGATGAGAAATTGGCCATGCTCCAGTCAGGGGGTGGTACGTGAGCTCTTGAGTCAAAGTCTGGGTCTCTGCTCAAGCTGTGTCCAGAGCTGGTATATATTGCAGGTTCCTGTGTTAGCTGCTTAAATGAAGAATGAGGCTTATTTTTCTTTATATATAATGTTTAAACTTCTATTAGAGACCAACTCAAACAGCTCCTGTGCTAAACTTCTGTTTCTCGTCTATTCTGTTTTCTCTGTTCTTTACTCCTGTATTGCTGTTCTGAGCCCAGTTTGCCACTTTTGGTGATGGTTGTAAGAAACAACCATCTTTGCTTCAAGCCCATCTTTCCATCACTTTCACAGTGGGCTGACAAGGTTACCAGGTGACATCCTAACTTGGCATCTGTATGGAGTGAGCAACCTGGATATGTTGGGTGGCTTTTTTTTTTCCTTCAAAGCTCTACCATGGCCAAACAGAGGTAAAGATGAGCCCCATTTCTGGTGAGCCGTAGGGGTTGTGAGGTGAGCTGGCTCAGCAGGACATGCAGTTCTGGAGCAGAGATACACGGTTCACCATTTGCAGTGGTCTCTCGCATGGATTGTCCCTCACTAGTCAGCTGGAAAAGAAGACTCCACTTCTGGCCATGAGGTTGTAGCGAGTGGTTCATTTCTCCCGCTTCCTTTTAAAAAATTTTTTTAAACCATTAACTTCAGAATTCAATCCCGAAGCATCTGCAGGGCAAAGCAGAAAATTTCGTGTTTCCAGCCACATGGATAGCAGGAGTCTGGCTGCAGCCGCTTGGTGAGTAGCACATCACGCCGCTCCGTCGCCGATTGGGTGCTGCAGCGTGTAGCGTCACATCTGATTAGCACTGTGCCAGTGGATGAGGCTCGAGTGAGGACTCCCTGCCAGCTCTGACTTGTCTCATTTCCCCTTGCTTTTATCCGTCACCAGAAATGCCGAGTCTCCCTCCTGAACTAATTAAGTTTGCGTGTGTTTAGACACATTGCCAAATAGGGTTTAGCAAAGCAGAACTGAGCATCTCTTTTTAAAGAGAGAAAGCAGAGAGCTGAAACAAGGCTGCTCAGACAGGGAGATAGAGCCTCAGAGATGTGGAACATCTAGGAGGTATTCCAGGGAATCACCCCATGCTTCCCTGCAAGACTTGTGGCGTAGCTAGTGCCCTTTGCTACTGTGTTGAGACCACACACTGGGCACTGAAGGCACTGGGGCAATAGGAGGGGAGGCAGTGCTGCTTGTCCATATTTGGAGGAGTGTGCTGGTGAAAGCATTGTGTGGTAGAAACCTGACTGGGTTCCAGAGGAATTCAGGACAATGAGGTGGGTGCAGTGCTTCCTGGCTTAAGGAGCCACCACTTGTGGCAGGTCTGCTCCTTAGTAGTGACAGCTTCCTTACTAATGACAGCTACTTGCATAGCTCCTGCAGAGCAAGCTGTAGTCCTCTTACCTGTGTCTTGAGTGGTGTGAAGTTCCTGTCCTCCCTTGTCCTTAGCTTGGCTGGTAAACCATGCAGCCTTGTTCCAGCAATGACCTGGGCATTTACCTTGACTCCTGTCTGCATGTGCTGTTGAAGAGCTGAGTGATGTCTTCTGCACTGGCCTGTCTGCTGTGAGGGCTTCCAATAGGTGCCACTGGTAGGTGCCAGGGCGCTGGAAGGCCCAGTAGGATGAGCAAGCTGGATGTGGGGAAGAGATGGTTAGAATTGTTGTATATAATGTATTATAGTATTTATTGTGTTCGTAATAAATTTTGATACAATTTCCACATGCTAGCAATTGTGTTATGTCTGAAAACCCTCTCACACTCAAGCAAACTGGGGAGGGGGGGCTTGGAAATTGGAAATTGGATTTTTGGAGGTCTCAGACCATGACAGGCTTGAACAAAGAGGAGGGATCTACAAGCCTGTCAGTGGTGGATCTGGGCACAAGATGGGGAAATAGCCCTGTCTAAGCCAGGAGTATGTCAAAGAAAAGCACTGGAGGAATAGTGACTGTCAAGGTGTTGCTCTCTGCTGATGGTGTCTGGCACTGTCTGAGTCTGCAGGATTCAAATTGGAAACTCAGCTGCTGCAGGATCAGTGAAGCCTCTGCTTGGCTCAGGGATCTTCAGGGAATGAGGCACTGTGTGGCTACAAACTTGGTTGCTCTTGAACACTGGAGCTTTCTTGGAAGGCCACAGAGCTGTTTGTCTGGCTTCCCTCAGACAACAGGGAGCACTGGTCACAAGGAGCTGGATGCCCAGAACAGGACACCAAGCATCTGGGAAGGGGCTATGGAGGTTTAGCATGAGTTGAGGTCCTTGGCCGGGCTACCAAGGGCTTTGTTGTGGGTGTGGTGGACCATCAGAAGGAGCATCCCTGTTGGAGGGATTGGTTACAGCTGGAGAGAGCCCATTGTGTGAGACGGCTCCGAAATGGAACGCTGATCCTCTGCGGGCTGTGCTTGGATCAGCCCGCTTTCAGTGCTCGGTGTGTGTGAACCAGGCTGGAGGCGGGGAGATGGCAGCTCTCCTGCCACCCCTCCCCTTCCCTCCTGTTAAGATGCAATTTCTTTAATGAGGAAAACCTCTTGAGTAGGAACATCACCTTTCTTGAAGGCTTGTCCTGACAAGGCAGTTCAAGCCGACAGAGTCGCATATCAACTTCAGCAAATATCAGTCACTCATTACAGAGACTCTTCTTCCCCCCACCCCCCAGCAACACCCCTCGTTCCCAGACAAGGGAATGAATCACACTCCTGCTCTTGAATACATCATGACAAGTCGTGGTTCTAATGAGAGAGGGCCATTCATTCTGGGTGGAAAGTTCCCTGTGTCGACTCAGAAATGTTATTAATTAAAGAGAGCTACCTGAAGCAAAAGATGAAAGGAGCACCAGACCTGCCAAGCTAAAATATGAGTGGGGATACAGCCTTGTTAGGCACACGGTCCTCGGGCCTCTGCGTGCTCAGCAGGAGGATTCCTTTAGCCTGTTGCAAGGAGCTATCCTCCAAGTTTAACAGCTGCAGGGATGGATTCAGGTACCTGGTGTAGTCTGCTTTAGTGCTTGGGCCTCATCCTGCACCTAGGTTGAAACTGCCACTAGTCATTAAGCAAATGGTGTTGGTGTGGCATTGGGTGGTGAGGGTAATGTGCCTCTGAAGGGCCGAGGGAGCCACTGACTACAGGAGATGGTCTTATTGGAAAAGAGGGTTCTTAGTGTCTGGCAGGGTTGAGCCCTTGTAATGTAAGCTCTTTAGTGTGGTCTGTCTCCCCTTAAATGTCAGGTTGCCTCTCTCTGTGTATAGAACCAGTTTGCGGGCTCTTAAACACAATGCGAATTAATCTTGGCAACCAAAGAGGCATTTTTACCGTGTGTTCATAGATACAGAGCTGAGATACACTGAGGTTAAGTGATATGCCTGTGGCTGTGCAGGCAGGCAGAGGCAGAGCTGAAGCCTCACGTGCCGAAACTCAGACCTGCACTGTAATGTCAAGAGCATCAGTTAATCCTTCTCCCCAGCTTCGAATCATTCTGCAAATGCACTGAGCATAGCTAAAAGTACATATAGGCTTTAGTCTGTATAACTGACATGAAGATGCTTGTACTGCACTTAGTGTGGCTGGTCAGAACATGCTAATTTATGTCTTCACAGGAAGCTACTGCTCAGAAGTTTTTTATTTTCTTAAATAAGTGTTAAAAGGCAAGTACTCTCTAATATAGTGATAAAACACAGTGAAGTGTCTTGAAATGTTTATAGCCTTTGGTGCTCTTCCTAGGTTGGATATTAGTAAATTCTAAGCAGTAAATTATACCATTGCTTAATTTTACTGTTTAATTCTTTCTTTGCAAGTTACACAGGCTGGGAGGATGCTTGCCTTCTCAGAGCTGCTCTGAGTGTCGCAATGGGTTGCTCTTTCCAGCCTTCTGTCCTGGAGTTTTGGTTTGAGATCAGCCTTAGGACATGAATGAAGAAGGATTGATGGTGTTCGTGTCCCT